TCCCACACCCCCAACCCCAGCTCTACAGCCTGGAGAAACACTGCTCCACAGACTGAAGGGGGGATCCTGGGACTGAGGGGCCAGTCAATGCAGCAGGGCACGGCCACCCTGTCACCGCAGGGATACGTCCAGGCCCAGGGAGCTCCTGCAGCTGCGGGGCCACAGGACACCCCTGCACCTCCACCATACAGCTCCGGGGCCCGCAGCGCAGGCATCTTCCTGATATCCTGGAGGCCTCAGCCTGACACAGACGCAGGGGTCCCTCAAGGCCTGGGGCTGCACAGGCATGTAGGTGCAGATGTGTGTATACGTGTCTGCACACACACACAGGTGCGTGCACACCCACGGGCACGTACACAGACATGCATGTGCAAGTGCGCGCGTATGCAAGTGGCAGTGCCCAGGCAGGTGCTCACCCCTCTGGCTCCTTGTTGAGCTGCTGGCAGAAGGCGTCGATGCCGTCCCAGTCCAGGCTCTTGTTCAGCGGGTTGGTGGCCCGGTCTGCAGGGGGGAGGGGGGGAGAAGTCTCGTGAGCCCGAGGGCCGCCCCGCCCCTCCCCCCGCGCCGTGTGCACGGGGTCCGCAACCCTAATCCCAATCCAGATCCGGGGGGTGGGGGAGGGGCCCCGGCCGCACTCACTGATCCGCGCCTCCAGCGCCTCGGGCTCCATGGCCGCCCCGCTCGGCTCAGCAGGGCAACGTCCCCCCCGTCCGGCTGGTCCGGCGGCGCGGGGCCATAAACCGCGGCCGCCGCCGCCTAGAGCGCCGCCCTGAACACCATAGAGCGCCGGAAGTCGGGCCGCAGGGGCCTGCTAGAGCGTCGGTCGCCCTCCTGCGCGCCAGCCTCCTCCGCGCATCATAGAGTGCCGCTTCTCCGCCCTAGAGTGTCGCCGGAAAACCAGCGAGTTGAGCAGAAAGTTTTGTGGCTCGAAATTTAGAGGCGCAACGGAAGAACCATAGAACCCACGCGCTCGCTTTAGAGCGCCGGAAATAGTGCCAAGGAAGGCCGACTTCCGGGGGGGGCTCCTTTGTGCAGGGTTTGGGGGGCGGGCTTTTCAATTGAGCCACTTCCGGTGACGAACGACTCGGAAGAAACGGCCCTTCCGCCTCGAGACGTCCTTTAGGAGGGCGTTTAGGGTGCTGCTAGGCTCTCCGGTGTTTGCGGCCACTGTCCCTACGCGCCCTAATAGAAGCAGGCGGGGCGGGACTAGCCCAGCCCTCCTTGTCACGTGACCTCGGGGGGTGGTTAAACGGTGCTGCCGCTGGCGCATGCGCAGGTCCGTCGGGGTGTTCGGGAAGGGATGTTGCGAATTGTGGCTGTTTCAGGCGAATCTCGCGAGAGTTCCAGTGGGAATCGGTGGCGTTATTCTCCCTCTTTCCAGGTCTGCAGTCGTAGGCACCGGTTCTTTGCCCGTACCCCTGCGCTGCGTGTCCCGTGGGTGGCAGCGCCCATGTTACAGCGTCCCCAGGAAGGCAGCTGGCCAGTAGTACCCTGTAGCGCAGGGATCCTCACCCAGGGGTGCCCTGAAGTCTTAAAGGGACCTGCCCCACACCAGCACTGGTGGGTTTGTGCACCGCAGTGATTCACAGCATAAAGTAGAAGGCAAGGTAGAGTTGTATCTTTTGGACACTAACCAAAGCAGACTAAACTTTAGAGACTAATCAAAGATCTATCTAGCTCTGTTAAAACCTATCTATCTATCTATATATATAGCACAAACATTCATGAGCTGCAGCTTGTTTGATCAGATGCTGTGAAAAGACCAGCAGAAAGTGTCGCTAGACAAGACCAGAGATTTCCATATAGGAATCTGTTGTGTCAAAGCCGTGCTGCTGTGCTGTGGGCTTTCGGAGTTCTCTGCAGCACTCAAAAAGTCTGAAACCTCAGAGCTGGCGTATCCTGAGGGGTGCCCTAAGTCTAAAAATGCTGAGAGCCACTGCTGGAGCTGATGCCCTCTCACCTCCCTTGGGTACCACAATGCCAGCTGGGTTGGTTTAGTGCTGGATATCCGCAGTGCTGCAGGTGTGAGCTGAGTTAACCAAGAGGAAGGGAAGGCCTCTGAGTAATGCCAGCTTGTCCACGCCGAGCCAGTCTATTACAGCATTAAAAGTTCACACCATCTGCAGGGCTATAAAATGACATCTCCTGTAATATACGTGCATGGGACTGAGTCCCAGATGCTGCTGGAACCTTAAAGGAACATCCAATTGAAATCTAATCAGCGTAAAACAAGTTAGCATTAATTCCAAAGCTCAGCCTTGCCTGCAGCCCCCAACAAACTGCCTCTCTGATTGCATTTCCTTCTTTTTCTAAACAGTTCGCTCCCCTGTTGCAATAATAAACCCGCACGGATAGCAAGTTAAACTGACAATTGGTTGTAAAGCCAGCTGTCCACGAGGGGCTGTCAACTATGTAAAGAAAGCAGAATGAAAAGGGGATGGTTTTATTTTCCTCTCCTACTTCAGCAAGGAGATTTCCTTGACTTTCATTTTAGTACTCTGGGGTGTTACCTATAAACTCTTCAGATGATTGTTTTCTACCTTTTATCTTTGAATCCTGTGTTCCTCATGGATTTACTCTGTTGTACAGAGTGAGAGCTTTGTGTGGGATGTGACAATTAAAAAATTTAAATACCAGAATGTGAGCTACTTTTCCATCCCGTCTCTTTTACAGTGGCTGGAAACATTGCTAAGCCAAAATCCTTTCTTTTTTTTCTTTTAGTTTGGAACATTCTTTCTTCTTGTTTAAACAGCTGCTGGGGGGGGAGAAGGGGGGATCCTAAAAAAACTAAGATCTTTAGGTATTTAAATTCAATTTGTCCTCTTTCTCCTTACTGCTTCAGTAATCCAGCCTGGCTCTAATTATGACACTTAAGCATTGCTTGTCTTTTCTGTGCTCTAGTGGTCTTGGAGGGAACATTATGTGTTCTCCACACAGTGATTTTTTTTTTAAATTTAGTGCTAGTGAAAGGTGCCAATTTGACAACCTTGGAGACTGAAGTCCTCTACTTGGGGTGGAGCTGATACTGCATCGTGTGGACAGGGGCCCTGCTGTCCGATATGCCCTGGCTGGAAGCCCCCTCTCCTGGCCCCCACACACGCAGTGCAAAGGCTTCCTTCTGTAGGGTCTATCAGTCATTCAGAGTCTAACCCCAGAAATAGGCATGGGAGCCCTTTTAGTGGCAAGCATGGGCAAAGTAGATTGCCAAGTGCTTGTAGAACTGGGTGCAGAATTGTCAGAGATGGAAATGGCATGGCCAGATCTCAGTCTGTCTCACCTGCCCATCTTAGGGTTGTTCCCATGCTCAGTCAAACTGATCTCAATGCCTCTAGCAGTGAAAAAAGACTGCCCTGTCTTGCTACTAAGAAATATTTCTTGATTTGCCACCTTAATTTTCCTTTTAATTTTACCCCTGGCTCCATTATATCTTGTGGGATCTTCTCTCTTGTTATGCGCCCCTCAAACAGCCTGTAGACGTAGGCTTTGTCCTTCCTCCAGGGGTGTTCAGGTACACCATAACTTATTTTAATATTTATGAGCTGGTTTCCTCCAAGTTTTTTCCTTATACCTCTTCTTTTTCTGAAAGTCCATGACACCTTTATGGTACTGAGTCCTTCCAACATGAAACTCATCACTTAGTCGCCTCAGAGAGCTATAGAGCACCTGTACCCTCTCCCTGCTCCATGTTGGGATGGTGAGCTTCTATGCTGCAGTATAGAGCTGAGCTACCGAAGTTAGCTTAGATACTAATAGCATCCTAGCATCAGTGTCTGGGAGCTCAGTGTGAGGCTAATTCACCTGGTTTTTCAGCTCTGTGCAGCGGTGACTAAACTTCTCCTGGTGCCTGAGCTATCTCACAGCTAGTGTGGGCATCTGCACTCCGCTGCAGTGTGCACTGCAGATGTATCCTGTGCAGGCAGCTCAAGTTTGCTGATACCGTTTCAATGTGTGCATCGCAGCATTTCAGGCATCTGTCTGACTTGCTATTTAATGCCTCTGGCAGTCTTTGAGCATTACTGCTTTTCTCAAGTGTCTCCTTTCCCATTAAAGCTCATGCTGGTTTATTTCTCCAAGACGCAGGTTTGTATTGTCCTGCTTGCAACACCTCTGCTCACATTTCTTGTCTCTTTCTGCCTTTATATTATTTTCCTGTCCTGACTAGTGCTTACAGCTCTGCCCAGTATAGTAGCATGTGCAGACTGAACCGAATGAATCCAGACAGTACACTGACATTTGGGGCATCCCATCGCATGTTTTCTCTTTTCTCCAAACTCAGTGCAGTACAGTACTTTTCCTCATTAAGTCTTTGGTTGCAGCTTGTAAAGTTCATTCTGTGGGCCCCCGGCCATATTTAAAAATGAAGATAACTCAGTGGTCTGTTAAGAAATGGAGCTAATCTCTTCAGACTTACAGTGGTGGTTTATGTGATGTTAGAGAAGAAAGACAAAATCCTGACTCCCTCCTCTCAGACCATTTTTCCCAAGCAATCAGGACAGCTGTAACTTTCAGCCAATGCTGTTCTGGGCCAGAGCTGCTGTGCTGCTGAGGTGAAAACCTCCACATTAGCATTCAGGACTCAAATATAATAGCTTTTATTAGACAAGATTTTTGCAAAAAAAAATCTTGCATTAGCATTAACCTGTAAAACATTGGCTCTAATGGAATAGTATGATGGCTTATTCTTTTCGGTTGCAGTTGTTAGAGGTGTGCCCCAACACGCACATGTTAGAAGCCTCTGTGGCTTTGTCACCATGTAATTATAGCAGTAGAGAGTTCATACTTCAGAGCTAAGGCTACTGCAGGGCCTGGCATATGCTTGGGCAGATCTTCCACGTTGTGTCCACCAGAGAGCAGTGGTGGAAGGCGGGAGATGCCAGCATTTATCACCCTTCCTGTACAGCTGAATTGCAACACTCTGCATTCAATATGTGGAATTCTCTCAGTTGGCTCCAGAGACCAGATGAAAAAGGGGCCTCTTACCTAGTAGCAATGATCTGCCTGTCTACTTCCTCTTGAGTCAGCCAGTGCCCTCTCCCCCTGTGCTCTTTTAGTGTGGAAAAGCATGTGTGTGGGTGTGTACATGCACCCTGTACAGCATCGCTGGTCACCATCTTGGTTGTGCCTTCTCAGGCTTCCCTCTGTGCTGTGCGCAGGGTTTCTGGGGTAGACTCTTCTCCACTCAGGCTGGCCTTGCTTGGCAAAGCAGGGTGCTGTCGGTGTTTCCCCTCCACAGAGTCCGTATTGCGGTGTCTTTGTTCTTTCTGCTCATTTGCTGACTTTTGCTGACTGCAGCAGGCAGTTCCTGGATTTTTGGCTGAGTTGCTTCTGCTACTTTCCCTTGACACTGGGCCAGCATCTCTTCTCCTGATATCACCTCTGTCCATGCATCATTTGGACTGGAGGCCACACTGCTCCCTGACCTTGGCTGTCCCCTCGCTTTTGGAAAAGTTGTGTGTGCTTTGGCTGGATGTGTGCGCCTGTGTGTGCGTGCACATGTGTGTTGGGGAGTGATGTTACGAAGCCAGTGATTGATTCTTGGGACATTTCAGGTGCTTTCTGCTCTTGTCTAATAGGAGTTTCGGTTTTCTGTTAATATGCAGTGCTTCATTGGTGACCAATGTATAGTGCAGAGCATGTCCATTGTCTGCCCAAACTTGTTTTCTTTCACATCTTTCATTCTTAATTTCCTCTGCATACTATAGCCTCTGCATACTACATCTGAGACCATACTACAGCCATGCTAGCTTGCAGTTGGTGTGTGACTAGGGCACTGGACTGGGGGTCAAGAC